AAAAAAAAAAAGAATTGAATTAAGAAAATGATTACAGAGGATGGGCAAAAGGAAAACAGAAATGGGAGAGAAGAGGATTCAGAAGAACCCTGAACCCAGTGCAATGTCTGCTGCCCGGGACCTGGCGCCTTTGAAACTTTAGAAGCATCTTGCTGAAATCTCACCTCTCCCCCCAGTGCACAGAGGTCTGTCTCTAAGCAGGCCAGGCGCACTCCCTGGGTGGAGGTCTCTAATTGCCCTGGGAGAGGGAGTGCTTTTGTAACATAAATTCATCCAATTAACATAAAGAAATAGTTTAGTTAGGAAGAGGCAAGCCCAGCAAGAACCCTAACGTCATTGTTTGCCTTTCTCTCCTGAGATTTATGATTGAAATAAAAATGGAGCTAGCCTAGGACAAGGCGCTGCAGGCAGTGTTGAACCTGACAAAGAAGAGCATGCGCCTCTTACACTTTCTCTGTCTCTTGTATTTTGATTTTTCTTCGTCCTCTTGCTTCAACCAAGCCACTGGGAGGGAACCCATAGCATAGTTGGGGCTGGAACCCAACAGCAAAGCAATAGATACCATAAAAAAGAACCAGAACAGAAATTCTGAAACTAAAGAATTAACTGAGTGAAATACAAAATACATTTGAAAGCTTTAAAAATAGACTAAATCAAGCAGAAGAAAGAATTTCAGAACTTAAAGACAAGTCTTCATTTATATTCTGTAAACTGAGCTTTACTTTATTATACAGACCACGCAGCAATTTAACATGTTGATTGCCACATTAGAAAAACATTGTTAATACAAACAGAATTGTATTCTGTTAATACAAAACAGAATAAAAACTTTGAAAACACAATAATCTGTTCTAATTTATAAGAAAATTTGCTATTTTTAAATTGTTTTCTGTGCATAAGTTATATGCAACTCACACGGCACTAGAGTCAGTTTTTATACTCATGTCACATGAGTTGTATATAACTCACAACACACTTATTAAATTTGTTTCTAAGAATTGAGTCTTTTGTCTTTTTTTTTTTTTTTGGAGACAGAGTCTCACTCAGTCACCCTGGGTAGGGTGCTGTGGCATCCTAGCTCACAGCAACATCTAACTTCTAGGCTCAAGTGATTCTCCTACCTCAGCCTCCCTAAGTAGCTGGCACTACAGGTGCCCATCACAAGTCCTGGCTACTTTTTCTATTTTTAGTAGAGACAAGATCTCACTCTTGCTCAGGTTGGTTTCAAACTCCTAAGCTTGAGCAATCCATCCTTCTTGGCCTCCCAGAGTATTAGGACTATAGTCATGAGCCACGGGGCCTGGCCTGAGTGTTTTGTGCTTTCATAAGTATTTAGTTTTATATGGAGTAGACCTTGGTGGTCCTGGATGACGACCTCTGAATCACAGCCCCAAGCAAGGGCAATAATGTCACGTGCCATTGATTTGATTCAAAGAGCCGCAGGCAAACATTCAAGGCAAAAACATGCAATGGGAAGTTATGATAATCAGAACAGTCCAGCAGATGTGGCCCATGGGGTGGACTGGCTGGAGCAGGGAAACAAGAGATGAGGAAGGCATGCCAATTGACCCTGAAAACAAGGAGCAGAGATTTCACAGCTTTTGAGACCCTGCACTCAAAACTAGTGTAAGTTAAATACAATTCTCACAGCAATTAGTGTTAAAAGAATCACAATGGCAACAAACTACTGATATGCACAATACCACAGACAAATTGCATCACTGTCATGTTTCCTGAAAGAGGCCAGACTTGAGACTCTAGTGGTATGATTGCCTATACTCAGAGGTCAGTAATGGTGAGGCCAGTCTCTGGTGATTAAATCCCAGTGCCACTGCCAATGTGGAGGGGTGCAGAAGAGAGCAGCTAGGGGACTTCCATAGGGCAGTGCCCCACACCTCCAATGGAGTCTTGGGTCAGTGGTGTCCTCATTTATTAAAACTCACTAAGGCTGGGCAGCACCTGTGGCTCAGTGGGTAGGGTGCCAGCCCCATATACTGAGGGTAGCGGGTTCAAACCTGGCCCTGGCCAAACTGGAACAAAAAATAGCAGGGCATTGTGGTGGGTGCCTATAGTCCCAGCTACTCAAGAGGCTGAGGCA